TAAATGATTTGGCCCCATTTTGCTATGAAAATGGAAGAATGAATGTTGTACAGTTCCTGAGCTAGGGCCTTATTGTTTTGAAGTTTTGGGGCAATTTTGTAATTTTGAGAAAGTAAGGGGTAGAATGTAATTACCCAAACATTGTGGTTAAATTATGTAACTCAATTGCACAAAATCCTTAAGATTTGTCCAGCAAGGCAGCGTGTCATGGACAGCGGTTATGACAGGCATGTAACTCATTTAACATTAACCACCTAGCCGTTTAACCTTTTTTTAACTTGTCCACACATTTTTTTAACAACTTGACATTTGAAAAAGAAATTTGTCATAATTTCTTTTTTTTTTTTTCTTCTAACAATTAAACACCGTTATAAGTACATTTAACATGCATTTCCATACTTCAATCTTTTAAGTAGTTATACCATTCCAATAATTGAAATAGTAGTTTATTGATGATATTTTAAGTGTCGTCAATGATAGTAATATAATATATTTGCTAAAAATTGAAAGACATGGAACATATGCAAACCTCATATAAAAAAAATAAGTTTATGAACTACTATCAATATAGTTATGCAAAAACACATGATAGGATCATTATTCCAATGGTTAATTGTTTTACACTATTAGGAATAAGTAATTATAATCTTTTACTGCTTTCAACTGATACTTTTCATCCCTTTGGAAATTAAGGACAAAAGTAAAATCCACAGCCACAATTCCAATGAAACTCCTTTGTCTTTCAATTTGAAGAACGAAAAGCACTCAATCTCAGCGACAAAGCAAACAGACAGTGGCAATATAGTTTTTTAGGTTTTTTTTTTTTTTTTAAACATATATTAAAATAAACAGTTAAATGGGTAATCGTTGTAATATCCATAACTACCTATTTAAAATTCACAAGTAAAGAGGTTATACCCATGACCATTTATATGTTTGAACGGTTACCCATAACTGTAACCGTGAGTTTTAAATGGGCGGGTGACCGCGATTACCCATACCAATAGGTATTTTGCCCATCTATACTCTTAGGTAAGCCCAAAGTGTTCATGATTTTATTGGGTAGTTTGAGACTTGCGACAAAGAGTTAAGCAAGATGACTAACAAAAGGGGAAATTAGGATGACTATGTTATGGGAGTTAGTTTGTATGGAAGAACATGCCAACCACCAGTGCAGTGGTAAAATACCAGATATGGGACGTGCAGGTCCATGTGCTTTATTATATGAATTAATGGGAATAGATGAAGAGTTCTTGAGGGTAGGCAAGATGAGATTGAATTAGATGTGAGGTTAGAAGTTTAATGTACTTATTTTCTTTGTACCCATGTAAAGAGTTCTTGAGTTTCTTTTTACAAGAAGAATTTATTTTTCACTCTGTTTCAGTTTCTTTGATTCTATTCAATTTTTTTTTTTTTTGTACTTTTGGGTCACGTTGGAATTCATGATTTTCCAGCAACTCAGGTCCTGTTGTGACACAAACGCAACCTAAGTTTAACGATTAGGGACAATGATGTGCGTACTATATTGAAAGCATAAGTGAAATTCAGTTATCTCTATTTTATTAGGCTTAACAGATTATAAAAAAAAAATTATGATAATAGAGTTGGCTGAGAAGTGAGAAACATACTTGTTCGATCTCTCCCAGAGATTGCTATCTTCTTAAACAGTTCCCAACTTTCCTTGTCATCTAGCTCACGAGATGGATGAACAAAACCATTTTCTCTAGCAATTTCAGCAACGTCCTTCTTTCGAGTGGTGAGTAATATACGACTCTTTGTTTCCGCACCTCCTGGAAATCCAGGTTCTAAAGATTTCCATGCTTCACAAGTCCAAACGTCATCAAGAACCACCAAACATTTCTTTTCTTTTTGGATGCTACAAAGCTTCCCTACTATTCGATTCTTATTCATTCCTTTAGTTTCATCTTTGGTGTCTTGAGTAAGCTGGATAAAAATATCTTCCAAAACCTCTTTTCCTTGACATTGTTGTGACACACACACCCAAGCAAAACAATCGAAGTGACGCTTAACTTCATTGTGACGATAAACTTGTTTTGCAAGAGTGGTCTTTCCTGAACCACCCATCCCCCAAATAGATACAATTTTGGGGCAGTTTTCTTCTTTCACCAAATGTTTGGCTAGTATCTCCACGTCCTCCTCTAACCCGACAACATCATGTTCAATAACATGAGGATAAGTTTGCCTATGTTCCTTTTGCTTCTCAAAAGTAGTGGCACCTTCATATGGTCTGCCCGTTATTTGCTGGATGTTATAACCTGGCAATTTCGACCTTATATCAAAAAGTTTGGCCGTAATGCTCCTAATTTCTGAACCTACCTTGTGACGATTAACGACTTCGTTAAGGATGCAACCAAACCTTTTCAGAACAAGCTTCACACTTCCTCCCCTTTTGAGAACCACTTTCAAGGCAAAAGATTCAACGACATCCTCCAAATCATAAGCAGCCTCTCTTATAGTTTGAACCCCAATGCGTACTACTTCACTGTCTTCTTTTTTTGCATCTGCATCTTTCAGGAAGCTCTGGATCAAAAGTAGCTCGGTTTGTGCATGCGCAATTTGATCGCGGACTCCGCACAATAACTTCACCTCCTCAACGAGACCACCTTTGAGCCCTTCGATTACCATTGAAACTACCCCCTCAGCCATATTTCTAGCTTCTGCCAAAAAGAAAAAATAATTAAACTAGCTTTCTTTTTCGACTTTTGTTGCTCTTATAGTTTAAAGTGGTTAACTGGAGAAGTCTGTTCTGTTTTTCTCCTCATTCACATGCTCTTTATTCAATTGGATTTGTACAATTAACGGTCAACTATTCATCATTTTCTATAATTTAGTATGAAATTATTATTTTAGCTCCTCAAATTTAATTTTCTCTACGTAAAACTTGACATAATTTGTTTACTCGAAGAAAATCTAGTGATTAGGATCCACACAAGCAATTTCAACTATGCTTGACATTTTACATTTTATTTTTTTAAATGCCGAAAATACCCTTATTGTATATTTTATGTACACAATTAATTTTATGCGGATTATAAGGTGGATTAATCATTTTGCGCTAAAAAAAAAAGAAAAAGAATAGGAGAAAAAATACATAATGTTATAAATTCATTGCATATTAAGTTCAAATACAAGAACTTTTATTTTATTTTTTGAAATTGAATGATATCATTAATTATCTTTTTAGTTAAAATAGTCTCTGAGATTTGCATAACTTCTTACTTTGGTTCCTGAGATTTGAATCAATGAAAGTGGTCCTTGAGATTGTCCACCATCAATCATTTTGGTCATTCAGTGAAAAATTATGTTAAATAAGGATCAAAATGACAAAACTACCCTAATTCAATAAACAATAAGTCAAAATGATTTGACAAATTTTTCATTTTATTATTATTATTTTATAGAGATTTTTCGTGGAATGACCAAAATGATTGGTTGTGGACAAACTCAAGGACCAATTCTATCAAATTCAAATCTTAGAGACCAAAGTGAGGAATTATGCAAATCTCAGAGACTATTTTATCTAAAAAGCCTCATTAATTTGATCAAGGATTGCAATAAATCTTGAATATTAGTGCTTATTTTCTCAATTTAAATAATAAAAGAAAGACTTGTTAGATTAGAACCCCACATATTGTTGAATACGTTTCATATTTAATTTTTTTAATTCGAATTTATTTTCATACACCCGCACATATTTTTTCATAATACCTTCACACTTCACACTCTCAACATACACCTTAAATTTTTTACATACACCCTACACTCTTTACATCATAAAAGCAAATGCATGAAGTCAACCAAAGATCTTATTTGTTTCTTCGAATAATGAGATGGTTTGTTTGTTGTTTCTTCTCCCTTTCAAATAATGAAGATATAGACTTGATAATTCCCCATTAACGGAAAAAAAATAATTGAGAATCCATCACTTTGTAGCAAAGAGAGATCAAAAAATGCATTGCACAATTGGTTCTGCATTAACTTCATGAATACTATTTTTGGGTTGCTTCATACTTTCCCAGAAGCTTTCCTACTCTTTGATAATGAAAAATTAAGAAAATTTCAGCAAACAGCTACAGAAAACTACTATAATATTCGACAGGAAGTTACCTAAATCCTTTAAAATTTGCTACTTCCCTCCATTGCTTCATAAAATTCTAACCGCATCAAAAGAAATAAGACATTAATTTTCCTCCCTTATCATTAGAACTTAGTTACTGTAAAACCCATGTTTACCCAGAAATAAAATATTAAACCCACTTATAAAATAAAGCATATATAAAATATTGTTGTGTATGAAACATTCCGTGCTACTTAAACTTCTGAAAGAAAGTATGCACAAACTAACCTTAAGAATCTGACTTAACAATTATATGCTATATGTGTATAAATCTGCAAGTTAATAATTTACCTACAAGAATACCACCCATTTTATTTTTGCGAATTAACCACTCAAACTCTATTTTTAGTGTGAATTTATGACCTTTATTAATTTTCATAAATAATACGATCAATACGTTACTTTAGTATGAATTACCTCCTCCATAAATTTTGGAAAGAAATTATGTACAAACAACACTTGCCTCGCACATGAGCCTTTTTCAATAACATTTTTCGTCATTTCAATTGACAGCCTCAAAGGTAAAATTTGCATGTACAAATAACTCGTTAACACGATACAAAAATAACGAATTTCAAGTTGACACAATAACTAATCAGGTCGTTGTCGAGTTACTTGTTAAGAACCCGTTAATAACAATCTTTAATGGGTTTACACATGGGTAATCCATGAATAATCCATTTCGACCCATTATGAAAAAAAATTATTTAGATAATTTTTAAATTAAACTACTGAAAAAACTTATTATAAAATACAACAGTTGTAGGGTATATATTGTATATAAAATTTGTATTATTTTATTATTATTTTATATAAAGTTAAAAACATTTAAGTTTTATTTATTTATTTTATTATGAGACTTTCTTATTATCCTTGCTGAGATAAATTTTGATGGAAATTACACATTAAGAATACTTTTAATACTTAATTTTTTTTTATTAAGACAATACTTTTTAAACATTTCAAAAGAAACAAAAATTAATATATGACATCATTGGCATTTTTTCTTTGAAGCGTAAGTTGCAAAAATACCTAAATGCCTACCATTCTTTGCTGACAAGGCCTACAATTCTCTGGAGGGTATTGAATCAGTTCACTTGTATCCCACCTTGCCCAACTTGAAGCTGCAATCGAAGTCGAAAAGCAAGTCACGAGGGATTTGATTCGTGACAAAAAAAAAAAAAATATATATATATATATATATATAATAATAATAAAAGAAGAAAGAGCTTGGTTTGCATTAAAATTTTCTCTTTCTGATTACTTTCAATTCGCAGACATGATCAGAGCCTGGAGGCTGGAGCCACCTTCCTCCTCCTCCTCCTCCTCAATTCTTTCTACTGCTTCCTTATTCCTCAATAGTCTTTTGTATGCATGTATGTCTGAATCTGTCTGTTTGTTTGTCTAATTGTTGAATTTGTTGCCAATTTCAATTTGCCCATTTTTTGCTTTCAGTGGCGGACAAAAAACGGTGAAAGACAATCTATGCCTTTTGGCTCACATTAAAAAAATGCAGAGAATTATAAATGGTGTAGATGCTTTGTTTTGGTTACGAAAGCAGAGAGGAAAAGAAAAGTCATGGACAACCTCATTCGAAGAGAACAAGAAGAGCTCCTGCTCTCCACATTTTGTAAGCAATCACTCCATCAATACTAAGGACCTCCAGATATTTTTTTTGGAGGTTGAATTGATTGGATTTTAATACTTGATGTATAAGTTTTTCATATATTCATTCTGTTATAGAGAAACCGTTATCTTTTATATGAAAGGAATGATACATGCATACACAAGTTGAAGTCATTTCCCTCTTTATAAAGCACCTTAAGTGGGTAAAGAACCTTAGTAGAAAAAAAAAAAAAAAAAAACCTCCTTAACCACTTGCTCTACTAACGGGTAAAAGATACCATTCACATAAGGTTATAGTTACTAGTTGAACTAATTTTGTAAAAATGGTCTAAGATTGATTGAAGTGATCCTACAAAAATGGATGATGACTGATTAAACTGATTCTGCAAAAATGGTCTAAGACTGATTGAACCGATCCTACAAAAATGGTTGATGACTGATTGAACAGATTCTACAAGAATAGTCGAAGATAGGTTGAACAGATTTTGCAAAAATAGTTGAGGACTGATTGAACTGATTATGCAAAATGGTCGAAAATGTGTTGAACTGATTCTGCAAAAATGGTCGAGGACATGTTAAATTGATTCGGCAAAAATAGTCAATGACTGATTGAACTGATTCTGCAAAAATGGTTGAAGATGAATTGGACTGATTTTGCAAAAATGGTCGAAGATGGGTTAGACTGATTCTGCAAAAATGGTCGATGACTGATTAAACTAATTCTCAAAAATTGTTGAGGACGGGTTAAGTTGATTCTAGTAATAAAGGATACAAATTGATTCTACATATAGTTTCAAAACTAATTCTATAGAAATAATCGAGGATGGGTTGAGCTTATGACACATATTAATTTTGTTAGAGTTATGAGGATTGTGTTCTATTAATAGCTTTTAAAGCCTTAGGAGTATGGCTAGTATTTTAAAACATTGTATCCATGTTTTTGGGTTAGGTTTTAGTTGTTTTTATTTAATTATTTTTATGTTTTTATCTCTCCTTGACATGTTTAAAAACTAGTGGAGTTTCTTGAAATATAGTGAAAGTTTTTGCCTCTATATATAAAGCTCCCTAAATTTTACTTTACCTATTGCCCAAAATTCAAATCAACTAATATAGTATAAGCAAAAAGACAAACTTTCAACTTTTAGAGTTAGCGACCTAATAATGTTTTTTACTCTCTCACATACATCATATTCATAAATGTTTTATCCTCTTAAAAGTGAGATTAAAACATTATAAAACATATTAAAAAATAGAAATATCAAAGTAATTTTAAAATATCAAACACATTAAAAAGATTATAATTAATTTACAAGTATTAAAAATGAGAAAAAAAATATGTAGAGAATATGATCCCATCCTTTACACTTTGAGATCGATACATTGTCATTTGAACTTTAAAACCCTACAAACCCTCAGGAATAATATTTTTAGAGGAGTTCAAATTAAATAAAAATTAATAATAGTTAATGCACAAGTGATGTTCTAAAAACAACCTAGATGGGCGCCTAAGCAGTACGCGATGATCAACCGTCGGGATTAAGCCCAATTTGGAAGGCAAATAAGAGAATAACTTAGGCGGGTGCTAAGAAGCCTAGGTTGTAACATCTCACATCGTCCAGGGGAGTGGATCTTGTAAGCCTTATATGTATATTCTCATCTCTACCTAGCACGAGACCTTTTGGGAGTTCACTGACTTCGAGTTGTGTGAGTTCCCAGAAACAAAACCGTGAGGATGTGGTTGAGGCCTAAAACGAACAATGTCGTGCTACGGTGGAGTCGAGCCTAGAATGTGATGGGGGCCAAGACCAAGATGTGACATAGGTGCTCCGGGTGTGGTTAAAAGTCAGAGAAGTGAGATTATTATGACGATTTTTTTTTCTATTTCAATCTACAAAAGAAGGAGCTCTGTTTTCCAATGAAGAAGACGATGCAGAGGCAAAGCCTCATTTTCTCTCTCCCATTTCATGTGACAAGCCAAACCTTTGTCTTCTTTTGTAAGTGCATCTAATGAGGATCTGCCACATGTCATCCTAATTAATAAGACTTCTAGGAATTAAGTGGTGGTACATATCCCAATAAAAAAATTGGGAGATATGATGGCTAATGTCTCATATTTCTCCACCACTCAGCCAAAAATCCATGTGTTTAAAACTATTATTTCTTTTAAATTTACCATAAAGTTATAAGAACTGTCAAATATATTTAGTGAAGTACTACGAACTTTTAATCACTTAAATTTTCATTTCATATCATCAAATTACTTGAATTTTGTATGACATATGTTAAATAATAAAAGTAATTAAAATAAGAAACCCAAATTTCTATTTAATTATAATTTTTTAAGTGTAAATAAGCACTTGTTTATATAATATAATTTTACTTAAATCCACCTAGGCATTAGGCTCCAGCCAACTGTCTGACTAACGTCTAACGTCTTTTAGAACCTTGTGCACAATAGTGAAAAATGTGAAAGAATATATAAACGCTCATAATTGCATTATCCACGCATAGACGATGTTCATTTTGATTTTTAAAACCCTCCAAACCCTCATGAATAATGTTTTTAATTTGAGTGCAAAATTAATGAAGTCCATAATAGTTATTGTAGAAGTGTGAAAATGTTAAAAAAATAATATATACAATCACTCATAATGACAAGCTTTACAACTTTCGTGAAGGGGTGAACTCTGAAATCTGACACCATAATCTATAAACCTTAGCTTATATTCAACCGTCGATCGTCATAGGCTTTATTCTCTCACCGAATTTCAATTTTTAGATTTTCTTTTTTATAAAACATGATCTTTTAGCGCGTGTAGAAAAATAAACGATTCAGATCGTTGATATCACATTCCGATATTTATGATTAACTGAAATATGAGTCGATATTATATAGTTTTTAGAGACTATAAACTATAAGCAATACTTTCACTAACAGTAAAATTTTGACTTTGATATCAACGATCAGGTCATCTTCCTGCATCCTCTAAAAGATCGTATTTTCAAAAAAGGGTGTGCATCCACACATCCCATTTTACTTCTCACACACCTCTTGATAATTTTTGTCCGTTGATCTTCTTTAATTCATTCAAACAGACAACTGAAAATTAAAAATGTATGTGAGAAGTAAAATGGGGTGTGTGGATGTCACATCCCTTTCAAAAAAACAAAATCTGAAAAAAAAAAAAATTTGGTAAGAAGGATTTAGTACAAATGTAAACGACAATTAATGGTTAAATTTCGATATATAATTATGTGATCATAGTGGCGAATTTCGAAGTTGAGTCATTCATGAAAGTTGTAATCCTTATCATTACGAGACTTTATGATTTTTTTTTCTTATATTCTTCACACTTCTAGATTAATTAATGTTTATGTGATACTTGAAATGTTTTTATGATTTGAAAGTAAAATTTATGTGTTGGAATTTAGAATTATTTTATTGTTTGAATTTGGGCTTAGCTCGTTAGAATTAATGTTTTGTTTTCTTGTCTATTAGGATTAGGTTGTTTGTTTGCTAATACCGCATACCCAACTTAGTATCAGAGCATGTTTGATCCTTCAGGACTTAATTTGCTCTTAATGGGTATGAGTTGTTGTTTGTTCTATGTGTCTCAGGATTTTGATGTTGCCACAAAAAATAAAAATAAGGAAAGAAAATAGAAAAGAAAAAGAGTTGAATATGCTGGAAGCTTAGGGGCGGATGAAAATAGAGACCCTAGGACCACCTGGAGTTCAGAAAATATACATGTGAAGATCTTTCGAGAACTCTTTTGCCCATACTAAATGTTTGATGTAATGCATGTTAATTATATCTCGACAGATTACTTCGACATTACTCGACAAATCTTCTCATGTCATTCATCAAATTGCTTCACGTATGCCGATATTTGTTGACATGTGAACAACATGGTCTGGCTGATGACAATAAGCTGACCAAGTATTCGACGAAATGTCTTGGTGAATAAACAGATTTTTTTTTGCTCGCTTTGCGCTTTGTTACTATCTAAAAAAATTTATATTAGCACTGAGACTTCTCAAGATTCAAATCCTAGATCCGTCACAGCGAAGACCTATGCTTAAGTTGTCAGAAGTTGAAGCTAGTTGAAGTAAAACTAGAATGTGTGCATTTGAAGTTGTGGTAACTGGAATGTGTGCATATTGAAATTGTAGCCCTAAAATGGCTACTCGCTTAGGTTTGTTTACATTTTTGTTTGCCCATCAGCTCTGTAACTTTTCTGTTATGATTTTCTCATTAAGTTTTGTTACATAAAAAGGTCCCTCGGGTGGGTATCGACCGAAGTTTTACAAAAACGTATCAATACATTTTCAAACCTTCAATGTTAAAAAGTCTTTTGACTAAAGATCACTAAAACTGAATGGATAATTGATATTCAAGTATTTGGATTAGGTGTTTTTAAAAGCATTTGTAATTGATCGAAGAAAAGAACAAACCTTTGCATACAACACTCGAGCCCCAAGAAAATCATTAAAATATCTAATTTGATCGGGTAGTCTACAATTATATGACTGGGAATCCATTATGCCAAAAAACAAATAAAAAATCATTCAGATGTATTTTCATTTAGAATTCTTTTTAAAATGGTTTATCTGTGCCATTATTTCAGTGTTATGTAGCTTTCTTTAGCATCAAAATTTCCTCACGGCAATAGTATGTGTAACAGAATTTAAAACAAAATCTTAATTTGTTGGTTTTCACTTGTGCTATTAATCCTTAGTTTATGTTCATTCTCATAAGCATTTATACAGTCAACCTTACTTAGTGTGATATAACTTTTTTGTTGTTGTTGCATTGATTCTCGTTTGCTACTCATACACTAATATTTCTTCCATTGTTTTCTATGCAGTTTCCTGCTACACACTGTTCCCACTAGTTCATGAAGCCTAGGAGTATCTAATAAAGGTTTCTAACTGTTACTGCACCCCATGATTATGTGGTTAGGTTTCTGCATCCCATTATATTTGGTGACAAGCTTCCTTTTATACCCCCCTCATGCTGATCTGGATTAGGGATTATGTACTCTTACATTTGGATTTAAAATGGATCCTTCATTCATGGTTGTTCAGGTTTTGACGTTATCTTATTTATAATTAAAGAGTTTTCGTGCAATTCGACGACCTCTTTTCCATTCCATAACCATAATATACCATAATTAACCTTTTAATCCGGCACCAAACCATACTCTTATTTATATAGTCAGTATAATCCGGTGACAAATCAATCAATTCGATTAAAATAATCATTACAGTTTGGCATACTTTCACGTATATTGCTAATTACCAAAAGCATTAATAATAGTGTATTTGCTAATAAACTTTAGTTTTAATTTTACTTTTCTTTTATTATAATTATATCATTAAATAGTATTTACAATATGATCAATTTCAAAGATAAACGTAAAATTCAATGAATCAGCCACCAAGTAAATTGAGGAAAAATAATGAGCCAAACATTGTTATCACGAAAATACGTATAATGGGCCGAAACTGACTTAAGCCCACAACAGCCTCAACAAAAACGTTACCATTTCCTCCATTTCCACGTGCCGAAACGGCAGAAGCCATTTCCGAAACACAAACCAAAACCTCTCTCTCTCTCTCTCTCTTTCCCCGACCCTGCGAGACTCGAGCGACCCTTCACTCCGCCACCATTTTGCGCCGAGCCACCACCCTCTTGACCCGATCCACTATCTCCCTCAGGGCCCGACGCTTCTCTACCGACGTCGATGCGACTGCCCCAGCCGATTCGACTTTCAGTGACGCCTGGAAGAAAGTGGTGCCTCACATAGATCACCAAAAGACCCCATTGATCTTCATGAAGCCTCGGCCTGCAACCCCGTTGTCGATCCCCACTAAGCTCACTGTCAACTTTGTGCTCCCTTATGCGTCCGACCTTTAGGCGAAAGAGGTCAGTTCGGAGGGATTTGTTGTGGGTTTATCTGGGTTTGGTGGAAATTGTGGTTTTCAGGTCGAATTTGTTGTCTCTAGTTTGAATTGGGTATACTGTTGTTTTGAGTAGGTTTGTATGGGTTTGGAGCTAATTCGATATTAATGTCGATTCATGCTTTGATTTTTCTGTGAACTTATATGGTTTTTGGTTTTTAATTGTTAATTTACTGGTGCTGGAGCTATTTTCGAATTCTTGATTTGTTCGATCATTTTTGCTATACGACTTGCAAGTTCAGTGACATTGTACATCTTTGATTAACTGATCAATGTATTATAGGATGTAATCATTTCATTTAATAGGTCTTCATATCTTCACAGAGATGCAATGTTACTTACAAAAGATGCTGCCGCATTAATATTTTTGTGTTGTTTCTTCTATAGGACTCTGTGTTTTGCGTTGCTTTGTAGAAGTCCATTTTTCAGAATAAGAGTTAACTTTTTGGTTCTTGTTTCAGTATCTTGTTTCGATGTCAAACTTCCATCTAAGTCGTGGTGATTATTCTTGTTACATAAATTGTATTTGCTACATAGATTTTAAGCATTTCACTGTTTCGGATTTTGAATGGATGCATTATAGCATGTTCAATCATGGGTACCATGTTTTCACTTTGATCTCTATTTGTTACTTTTTCTATTGACAGTGTTGGAAAAAAAAATTGTAACTTTGAATCCGTAGTGTTTGATTTGCGTGGCCCATGGAAGATTTACTCCTGCACTTATTGCCTGGTTTTCATAATTTTCAAACATTTCCAGTACTCATATCCCATTTCCTTATTTTATTTCATGCTGACTTTTGCAACTGATTATAGTGGTGCAATATACACCTAGTTTACATCCGTTGTTGTTGTAAGGATGCTTTATGTGTGTTACAATTTTCTTTCTTATAAGTCATATGCTATACTGTTTAAAGTATATAATTCAAATTCACATGCGAACAGATGTGGAATTAAGTTCCTTTTGAAAAGTTTGTGGAGTTGTCAATCCGATGAGAAACCAATACTGCTTGTAATGAAAACTAAAATTTCAACGAGTGATGGAAAAGTGTAGTGTTAAGTCCATTTCCTCTCCTTCATCAAGCTTTGTGACTCCTTTTAGTCCTTTTGATTGGTAAATGGGTATGGAAATCAGACATGAGTAACATAGCTGAGTGAGTTAGAGCATGGTTGCATGCCAAAAAAAAATGTCATGGTCCTGTTGGCAGTTGAATTGTTAGTTTTCTACATTTATTATTTGTGTAATGCATTGCTCATGTGCATAAGCAAGGTACGGACATCTTGAAATATTATACATGTCTTGGTTTTATTTGTTCCGAGCGAACTTTGGATATATCCCGGTAAAGCGAAATGAATTTTTCTTTTTCATAAATAAGAAAAGTTGTTGGTGGTGCATTTTGAGATCAACGTGCTCTTCCTTTTTTTATTGTGTTATCCTCAGTTTCATAGTAGACTTGCATATTTAGTGTTGGCCTCAGACAATCATTGAAAACCTTCTTCACTATCCTTTTTTTCACTGCATTTCTGACATTGATAAGGGGAACTGAATCTTTTAGCATAACTTGCTTCTGACAGATTAGAAGAATATGGAACTAAACACAATGATTAGTTGCCCGACTAATTTTAATCTCAGACAAAATTAGGTTTTTTCCTTCATTCAATGTTATGACCCAAAGCTACTGTTTTCCATCTTCTTTTATCTTTCCAAACCATATTTTTAAAAATGTGCTTGCTGCCTTTTCTTAGTGCCAAAACTACTGTTTTGCCAGACAAAAAAACTAGTGTATGTTGAAGATTGATGAGCAACAGATGCCCCTTGCTTTGACAGAACTTGATAATGTAACACTCGACTTTTTTTAGTGGGTGAAGGCCACCAATTCAGTTGCCAAACATCATGACCTTGTTGAGACTGAAACTTTTTAGCATTAGCATTATCTGTTGATTGTGTGGTCAGTAATCCAAAGATGCAAAGGCAAGGATCTTAAGTTGTGTTTGTATTTGATTATATATCCGCAGATTCTGAAACAGAAATACGAAGATGATATTGCATTAGCTTCATCTCTTTGCAAACAATTAGTAAGAGACTTCTAGTTGTGCCATCCTTTTGTATTGTGTTTCGTATATCTTACTATTGGAGATCAAGACCATCTGGAATCGTATCTTTATTAGTTGATTACTCGATAATATTGCATTAGAGTCATAAAGCCACTGAGCTTCCTGACAAAAAGTAATTCTGAACTATAAGTTGTTGTCTGAGCCATGAACACAAGGGAAGACAGATTTCATTGATAGAATACTGAGCAAATTGGGATTCTTTCTGCTGTCAGAAAAGCAGATAAAATCACAAAGAAACTGAAGCATCTGCATTAGGGTTCTCATATAATTATAAACATTGCAAGAATGGTGAAGGATGTAATGAGCCATCTCTGTGTGGCCTATAAGTTAGTTCCACTGATGAGGTTTGTGTTAGGTAGACAAACTGAAACCTCATTACAGAATCTGAGCTCACACTCAAAGTTGGATCCTTAAGTCCAATCAAAACTCATTAAACTCATTATAGGTGCAAGTAAGCCTATTAAACTGATTAACATTCCATTTTTCTCCTACGGTGTCCCCTTTTCAAGTCATAATTGGTAGTTTTTTAATCTAATAATTGGTCGTCTTTGGTTATAATTTTTCTCCCTTTTTTCTCAAATTATATTAGCCCACCCGTCTGAAAAATCCTAGCTTCCACCCTTGCTTGTGTCTGTCATTTTGCATTAAGAACTTTACATTTTATCACTTTTTTTTGGGTGGTATGGACGGAGAGTAGTAGGTGGAATTTTTAGGGAGAAAGGCGCGAGGAGGTGGATCACTTGTGTGGTATAAGGTTTGTTGGGTGTCCCTTTTGTGACAGGATCTTCAGATTTTTGGTATGGTTCTTTTGAAGCTATTTTTAATGACTGAAAAGCTATTTTGCTTTAGTCTTTTTTTATTTTATTTTTTTATTTTTTATTTTTTCACTTCGTATGATAGAATTTTACTATTTAAGTATCTGTTTCCACAATATTGATACTACCCCATTCGGAGCTAATATAGATCATAAAATTTTTATATGTATATCCATTTCTTGACGTTTCTTGGTAGGGATTTAGGATGCTTTCTACAGGATGGAAGGCCTCAAGTTTCCTATTTGCTGTTGTATGGCACTTTCTCTACAATAAGGATTAAACATAGTGAGGGAGGAGAGGGATGAATATTGAAACTCCTGCCGGAATATAGATATTACACCCAGTCTACTATTATGCGAGGGAATTAACTATGCCAAGATGGTTATCCATTAATGTTGCTCCCTGACCATCTAATAACAATTTGCATGCATCTTGGACAAGTCATTTAATTTTTCTTGTGCCTCAATAGCTTATGCCATCATATTTTTCTCATGTGTTGTGCATTGATTGTTCAACATTACCTTGCAGAAGCAATTAGTGATCCATTGCATGTTTCCTTTTGGCAGGGGACCTTGCCCTGCCTATTGGGCGGTCACCAAATTTTTGGGTGTTCTATATCATACTAGATAAGGTGCTTGCTTTCGTTCTAGGAAAACTTGGGTTCAATATTCAGGCACCAGCAACTTCATTCACTGGTGGGCTAGGTGGGAATTCATCCCCTTTTGCTGTACTGCCTCAGGTAATTCTCAATGGTCAATTGGAAGGAGAGGGAATATAATAGGTTAACACTTTAGTTTATCCAATCAAATGGGGAAACAAAACTCGGTTGGATGGTGCAACATCATGAAATTATGAATAGGTGGTAGGTCTTGGGCTGTTCTGGTTCTTGTAGTCAGCTTTCTGTCAACCTTACGCTCTATAACTAGCAAAGCAATTAAGTAACTAAAGACTTTCCAATGCCTAATTCAAATGTTTAGCTTGAGCATATGAATTAGTATGTTGAGTGCCCTTGATTGATGAGACGATATATTCTATTTATCCTACTCAGAACTAGGTTATTTTACTCGATAGAAACAGGATTTTATTTCTTCGTATTCTTAATGTTTTTGGGTCCTAATTTTTTGTGAATCGATGAAATGGTAGGTGACCCCTGCGACAACCTTTATCCCGGTTCTGATTGCCTTTGAATATACAAGTGGGTTTATGTTTGGGTGGAACGTTCATGAGATGGTATCACCTGACTTTGTCTCTTGCCATTGTCGCAGTGCAGAGTTTGGATAATGCAAGGCATTACGTCTTGTTATCAATTGGTATGCTTGTTCTTGCTTTCACTTCCTCGCGGAGAAACGAGGGGAGATTTGTTTGAGTCGGGGTTATCAGCTTCAGGATAGCTACCAAACTTTTATAAAAAGGTTTCAATACATCTTCGAAACTTCGATGTTATTAGCAACGCATCGACTATCGACAACTGTTTATGCATATGTTACAGATGATCAAGGTTTACAGCTTCCGAGTTCCAAGTATATAAAAAAAAATTAAATAAATAAAAAGTGAAATTAAGCAAATCATATACCTGTACATACGATATAACACATGGATACGCTAACTGCCCTCCCAGCTGCATTCGCCACCTTTGCCACACTCCCACTCCCCACCACTTTCTTCTTTAAGGAACCGGAAAAGGAAAAAAGACACATTATGATTTTTCCCATGAGAAACAGAGGAAAATAGCGAACAAAATATAAGTAGCAGCATACTTACCAGTTAAGTAATGAGAAGAGAAGGCACATGTTGAATTTTGTAGAAATCCTCTCCTCCTTCCCCAACCCTACTACAGAATCTCTTAGGCATCGACAATTTTAATTCCTTGAGGGTAGTAACATTCTCAAGCCCCTCAGGAACTGCCCTCAATCCGCAGTGGGAAATAGACAATCTGCGGAGTCTAGGCATGCCTCCTTTCTCTATCCTCCAACTCTTTAATCCCATCAAACCAGAAACTTCAAGAAATTCAAGATTAGGATAACCTTCTTCTGAGACAACTACTTCTGTAACATTCTCATCAAAACTACGAACAAGCCAAAGCATTCTTAAGTTTGGGATCTTCTCAAGTATTTTGAGACTCTCCAACTGTAGACCAGTATACCCCAGCGCCATCTTAGTGAGGTTCTCATAACCCTGGAGACCTTCCAATGATTGTTCTCTTATTCTTCCCCTCAATTCAAGTTTGTATATATGAGGACAACTCAATACCATATTCATTGGTATAACTTCTACTCTATCCAGATATAGAGATCGAAGATGGTTAAATGTGATGCTAGTAGATTTCAACATTTCCTCCATATTTTTCACCTCATAACCTGTTATGAACAGTTTTCTGAGATTGGTCAATTCAGCAAGATGAGTCAAATCACAATCAGCACCTGCAACATTGACTAAACTCTGCAAATTCCCAAGAGTAACCAACTTCAACTTCCCTCCGTACCCCCACCAGGGTAAATATAAATGCCTCAATTCTTTCATCTTCCAAATCACATTTGGTACTTTTATTTTCCCCGGTAAAGCAAACACACGTAAGTCTAGAGTTTGCAAACATACCAAATTACCTAAAGATGATGGCAACCGTCTTACATCACTTCCCTTTAGACTTAAAAACCTCAAGTGGACTAGATTCCCAATATTACTCGGCAACTCTACTTTTTCTCTCCGTATGCCTTCAAACTTTAGAACCCTGAGCAATTTGAAGTTGCATACTACTGACCGCAAGAATTTTTTCTTCCAGTTGGAGAATCCATATTCTGGGTCGACAAAGAATAACAAAGACCTAAGGTGGTCATTTCTTGTGGGAGCAAATCTATCAACACATTTTTCCTCCACATATACACCAAGTCTTCGAACTTGAGGAATTGTCGCTGCCTTGGTAAAATTTACAACGTGAAGAAAGTTCTCCTCTTCTGCCTTTACCAAGCACAAGTCTCGCATAAGATCATGAAGATGACATGTTTTGATCTTCTTAGTTGAACCAAATGTTCCAACTTGAACCATACATCTTTCCACCAACTCAATTAAGCAAGCATATGCTACATCTTCCAATACTTCCACTGAACCATGTCGTTGGGAGCCCGAAGATATAAAACCTTCTGCTATCCATAACTGAGCCAATCTTTTGACCGGTATCTCATAATCCTCCGGAAAGTGGCCTAAATATAGAAAACATAGTTTTAGACGATATGGTAAGTCGTCATAACTCAATGCCAACACCCATGATGCACCTGCACGTTCTTGATCGCCTTTGTATTCTTGGTCAAGATTAGTTCCTCTCCGTATATACACATCGACGTTCTTGGATACTGTTTTCCACTCAACTGTGACTTTTCTAGCTAGAAGTCCCGCAAGCACAGTAATGGCTAATGGTAGACCTGCACAATGTTCAAGCATCTTCTTTCCTAGTTCTTCCTTCTCAGCATCAATTTGAGAGTCTGAAAAAAAAAAATGTAAGAAAAATAGGTTAACAGTTATGTTCTAGTCATTCCTAATATATTTTATATATTTTGTCACTGTCCTTTTGGGTTGTTGAATGTTTTTTGCCGTAGAACGTAAATATCAGACCTGCTTTGTTGCTGCTCTCAAACAACAATCTATATTTTAGTTTTGGGTGAAGGGGTCGGCAGACTCGGCGCAAGGGCTTTTCTACAACATGCATGTTTTTCATTTTAAACAAGAAAATGTCTTACTAATATCCTACACATTCATCAATTTTATTAACGATTGATTAGGGACAATGACCTCACCCTCTCTTCAATATTTCCAAGCCAATCAAGTGTATTAAACTGGGAGACTTTGAAATTTTATAGTGCTTAGAAAGTCTTGTTTTAATTTTTGAAGAATTTTGGAGTTTCTTTGGATTGGTACTTTGTCTTTGGTTTTTAAATAGGTGAGGAATTAAATAATTTTTCTGTCAAGGATTATTTTTTTAATTGATAAGATGAAAGTGGACAAGATTACGATAGAGTTTGGGTGAATTTTTAATAGAATTTTAAAACGTCACGTAATAGCTAATTTGTTATGTTATAGTTGCTAGAGCGATGAAATTTATCCTAGATATTCATCATTATCTCTCATCAATATTTTTCAAGCCAATCCCTAAAATTTATCCAAACTAAACCATTCTATCGACAAGATGACAAGTTCATAGCATTTTTTAAGTATTTTTTGGAACCCAGCGAATTTTAATACAATTTTGCAAGGCCATAAGACAGCTTAAGAGTGGCTGACTTGTCATGTGACAGCTGCTATGGTGGTGTGTCGACAATCCATGTAAGGATTGAAAGAAAAGGGAAAACAAAGCAAGAGAGGAAGCAGTTTTTATTCGTTTGGACACATGGCGGGCTGCCATGGGACCGAGTAGCAAAGAGAGTTGGAGCGGTGCGGTGCACCTGATCCTAATCATATGACCTGATTGTTTTTCTTCTTTGTTGAAGCAAAGGGTGCACAAACATTAGCGTTAGAAAATTGTTATTGACATTCTAAATTTATTGTTTTGTGTAAAAAATAAATTTTATATTTAAGAAGAAAAAAAAACTTGTAAAGAGTAACGAAAAGTTTTAGAATGACAATAACAGTTCCTTACAAATAATATTATTTCTTTCAATCAAACACCCAAATCAAATTTTCTATCATAATTTTTTATTTACTTCACCAAATTCAATTATGTTTTCGCTTATGAATTTCTGGAGGAGAGTATGACAATTTACAATCTAAGGTAGGAATTTCTGAGTTTACTACAGATCTCGAATGTTGCCATATAGGGGATTTATCACTATATGATTTAAAGTGTTTATGTAGAGTTGATCTTATTGGAAATTCAGTTGAGAATTAGAGATCATGTTACGGGCTTGATTTGAATATCTCGAATTGTTTTGTTGTTGAATCTGATTTTGGTGAGAACTTGGTATGAAAATGGAAGAATGAATGTGGAACTTTACCCCTGTTGTACAGTTCCTGCAGCTAGGACCTTATTGTAAGGTTCACTAGGACCTTATTGTAAGATCGGTTGAAGTTTTGGAGCTATTTTATAATTTTCAGAATTTTAGGGGTATAGCTGTAATTACCCAAAATTTGGGGGTTAATTTATGGTATTCAATTGCACAGAAACATATCCTAGCCGTTTATTGTACATCGTTCGGTCAGAAATCATTTGAATTTTATTATTTAAAATTAAACACAAATAATATCTGACGAAAACTGACTGCATGATATATAATGAACAATTAGTCTATGAGGATCCCTAGGATCTCCACCGTTAGGATCCGGATGGGATCCCTTCCCGCTAAACTTAAACAGACGCTGCACCCAACCCAACACTGACACGCTTTTTGGATGATATCCTAAACATTTATCAATTTTATTAGCGATCGATTAGAACAATGACCTCACCTCTTATCAATATTTCCAAGCCACTCCCTACAATTAGTCATATCCAAGCTAATCCAGTGTATCAAACCGTGAGACTTTGAAACTTTGTAGTGCTTACAAAGTGTTTTTTTAATTTTTGAAGAATTTTGGAGTTTCTTTGGATTTGACAATTCGTCGTTGGTTTTTAAATAGGTAAGAACTTAAATAATTTTTTTCAAGAATTAATTTAATAGTGATAAGATGAAAGTGAATGAATCTATCCCAAGTTATACGAAGAATTTATTTTTCACTCTGTTCCAGCTGTAATTACCCAAAATTTTGGGGTTGATTTCTGAAATTCAATTGCACAGAAACTTGCCATTTGTCCAGCAAGGCAGCGTGTAGAAATGTGAGATTTATTTGTGGACCTAAGTGAATTTATACAGTTTACAGGTCCTAATTGTGTTAAAGGACGTTAAATGGTAACACAGGAATCCTAGAGTTTTGAAATAGAGGACTAAGTTCGTGGTTGCTGTATAGGGATTATATAGTTACGTATTTATTTCTTTTAGTTTTATGGAACTAGAAATTTCAAATTTATTGGAGAAAAAACTAAGCAACGGTGCACTGTGACATAACGGTGGCATAAGCTTTGATTTGGACTTCAGGTAGGGAAAATACGATTGACATTTATGAAGATTGGCTTTATTAAATTTCATGAAGTGATATTTGACCTTATTGGGTAATCAATGTGGTTGAATGTTAATATTGTGCATCTTTGATTTATTGAAATGTTATTGCTGTTGGTTGTGGAATTGTTAAAAAGCATTTTGATATATGTGAAAGATGAAATGACATGTCTTTGTAAAGTTGAGTTTAACTCTCTCAGGTCAACCTGATGTACACATGATTTTATCGGGTAAATTGAGACTGATGACAAAGAGTTAATAAGATGACTAACAAAAAGGGAAATTGGGATGACTGTGTTATGTGAGTTAGTTTGTATGAAGGAACATTCTAACCACCACTGCAGTGGTAAAATACCAAGTATTAGGCGTTCAGGTCCTCATGCATTATTATATGAATTAATGGAAATAGACGAACATTTTGCATTGCATTCATGCATTGGTTTTGATGAGGGAAATATATTTGATTAAATTATTCCATGACACTTAATTTAATTTAGTCAATTTACTGTGGTAAAGTTATGTCCCTACTGAGTTGTTGAAGTTCACCCCTCTATTATGCAGGTTTTCGAATTAGGCAGTCAAGAGGGTAGACGGGATGAGATTGAATTAGAAGTGAGGTTAGAAGTTCAAATTAATTTTCTTTGTAGCCATGTAAAGAGTTCTTGAGTTTCTTTTTATAAGAATAATTTATTTTTTAGTCCGTTTCAGTTTTTTTTATTCTATTTATTTTTTACTTTTGGGTTGCATTAGGGATTCAGAATTTTCCAGCAACTCAGGTCCGTGCATGACACATAGGGACAATGATGTGTGTACTATATCAAACTCATTATAAGTGAAAAGCACTAATCTCTATTTTTTTAGGCTTAACAAATAAACCACAAAAAAAAACCAATTAATAATAACAGAGTTGACTGAGAAGTGAGAAACATACTTGTTTGATCTCTCCCAGAGATTGCTATCTTCTTAAACAATTCCCAGCTTTCGATACCATCTAGCGGATGAGATGCATGAACAACACCATTTTCTCCAGCAATTTCAGCAACGTCCTTCTTCCGAGTGGTGAGCAATATACGACTCTTTGTTTCCGCACCTCTTGGAAATCCAGGTTTTAAAGAGTTCCACGCCTTACGAGTCCAAACGTCATCAAGAACCACCAAACATTTCTTTTCTTGTTGGATGCTACAAAGCTTCTCTACTATTTGATTCTTGTTCATTTCTTTAGTTTTATCTTTGATGTCGCGAGTAAGCTGGTTCAAAATATCTTCCAAAACCTCTTTTTCTTGAAATTGTTGTGACACACATACCCAAGCAAAACAATCGAAGTGACGCTTAACATCTTCATTGTGACCATAAACTTGTTTTGCAAGAGTGGTCTTTCCTGAACCGCCCATCCCCCAAATAGATACAACTTGGGGGCATTTTTCTTTTTTCACCAATTGCGTGACTAGTTCCTCCATGTCCTTCTCTAACCCGACAACATCACGTTCAATAACATGAGGATACGTTTCCCTTTGAACCTTTTGCCTCTCAAAAGAAGTGGCACCTCCATATTGTGTGCCCGTTATTTGCTTGATGTTATAACCTTGCAAACTCGACTTCAATTTGGAAAGTTTGGTCGTAATGCTCTTAATTTCTGAACCGAACTTGTGACGATTATAGACTTCGTTACAAATGCAAGCAAACCTTTTCAGAACAAGCTTCACGCTTCCTCCCCTTCTGAGAGCCACTTTCAAAGCAAAAGATTCAATGACATCCTCCAAATCATAAGCAACATCTCTTATAATTTGAACCCAAATGCGTACTACTTCATTGTCTTCTTGTTTTGCATCTGCATCTTTCAGGAAGCCCTGCATCAAAAGTAGCTCAATTTGTGCATCCTTAATTTGATCGCCAACTCCGCTCAAGAACTTCACCTCCTCAACGAGACCGCCTTTGAGCCCTTCAGTTACCATTGAAACTACCGCCTCAGCCATATTTCTGATTTCCACCAAAAAGAAAGAAAAAAATTAAACAAGCTTTCTTTTTCGACTTCTGTTTTTCTGATTGATTAAAGTGGTTAACTGGAGAAGTCTTTTCTGTTTTTTCTCCTCCTTCACATGCAATTTATTCAATTGTTTAGCGAATCAGTTGGCTTAAACATTTGGAAGAGTGCATATGCATAAAGGAATGATTTACATTTGGAAGAGTCCATATGCATAAAAGGAATATTTTACATTTGAAAGAGTGCATATGCATAAGGGTATAATTTACATTTTGATTAGGGCAAGGCTCCTTTTTCCACCCTCCACTCCATTAACGCAAGGAAACAACCAAGGGAAAGATGCTCAAGATGAGGAAAGCCTCCACTGGAGAAAAAGTGTGGTCCTGGAAAAGCCGTGGCAGTAACGTGATTATTAAGGAAAAGTATTCTTAAGCTTGGCAGCTTCTCTAGTATTCCGGACAGTGTTAGCTTGGTAAGGTTTGGAAAGCACAGGATCCCTTCTGGTAGCTCTCAATTTTCCCTTTATTCGTAGCTTGTATATCTCAAGACAACTTAATGTATACTATGTTCCATGGTATAACTTATTCTCCAGAGTCCGCGACTGGAGATGGTTAAATGTGAAGCTTATTCTATCCCAGTTTTTTTATTTTCTAAGATTGGTTAGTTTAACCATATCATTTAGATCACAGTAGCTACTTGAAACATTGGCTAACGTCTGCAAACTGCCTAGAGTAGCCAACGACAAATTTCTTACTTGCTCTATAACGTCGGGGTAAATATAAATGTCTCAGTTGTTCTATCTTTCCGAACACACCCAAGATTCTCATCGACATCCATAGACTCTGTAAATTAGAGTCTGCAGGCATACCAAATTAGCTGCAGATGATGGAAACTATATAATTTGTGTGTTCTTCAGACTCAAAAACCTTAAGTGAACTAGATTCCCAATTTCACTCGGTCAAGACTTTGCATCATACCTTCAAACTTCAAAACTCTAAGCAATGTGAAGTGCGTGAACAGTGACCGTACTAGGTTTTTCTCCCAGTATGACTCATATAACAAAGACCTCAGATGTCCATCACTTGCAGGAGTATATTTATCGACATTTTCGTCTCCGTCCAAATAGATGGCAAGTCTTCGAAATTTACCAATTGACACTTCTTTAGTTACCATGGCTGCAGACAAATTCATAATATGAATAAAGTTCCCCTCTTTCCCTTGGTCATTTTCTCTCGTTTTTTTTTTACATCGTCATTTTGCTCTGGTACGGTCCTCTTTGACATGTTCCTCATTGCTTTGCTTTGACAGTCGCGTGCTTATTTTTCCCTAAGGGAAATGTGGATCATTTTGCTATATAAGATAAATTACACAAAACTACTTCAATTATGGGTCGAAAAGGTAAATCCTTGGATATATATTCTTCTAATCTTCCACTGCTTCTTAAATTTCCTATTGGAGCATTTAGCTTGCGGGGTTATCAATCACATTATCTATCAGGATGTTGCAAATAATGATATCTTATGTTGATGAAAAAAGATTGAATCTCAAAAGTGGAATAGCTGTGAAGATCAGCACTAATGTAACATATAGTCCAGTTACGAACTACTGCTCAGTTGTCAAAGCACTACAATTTTGAGAATACATTTGTAAAGCAGAAGCAGTTATATTTGGCATCTCTTTGCATGTAAATAATATCAGTGTAAATGATAAAACTTTCAACAATTACTATATATTTTTGTGTAAATACTTTGTATATGTTTTATACAAATAACTTTTACATATCTACCGACAATATTTATAATTTATTTTTACACCCCACAGCAACACGCAGGCTAAACTTCTAGTTTTAGCTATTATCAATGAAGGTAATATAATATAATATATTTGCTAAGAATTGATATTTTTTACTAACAAAATATCTCTCATTACTCGAGCAAGCATATTGGAAAGAAAATTCATGCATTTTCAACATATTTTTTTCCTAGACCCAAACAAGTCTTCAATTATAACACCTAGACTAAGAGTAAAATACATCAAACTCTATGATTACAAAGTAAAACTTCTAAAAACTGGGTAATCATTATCTTGAATATTAGATGATTTAAAGCTCCAAAATATTCCAAAACTAAACTTTCGAACACTCTAGAGATGAGACCGGCGTGGAACACCTTCGTGGATGTAGGATATGTATGATCAATGGGCGGATATGTATGATCAATTGATAAATAAATAAAAACAGAGATGGAAAGTTTGTGAGAGAACGTACCTGTATTTGCGTTTCCATACATTGCTATCTTCTCAAACAGTTCCACGCTTTGATCATCATTCAGTGACAGTGGCTGGTAGAGGAAACCATTCTTGTCCACATATCTAGCTACTTCAGGATAGCTAGCCATTTTCAGATGCTAAGTTATGTGAAGTTCGCATTACCAACGAACCTTTAGCTTAAGTTGTCAGAAGTTTAAGCTAGCTCACTGTGTGCATATTGAAATAGTAGTCCTAAATATTAAAATCGCTACTCGCTCGGGCGTTTTTAACAAACTTTTTGTTTGCATTTTTGTTTGGCCATCAGCTCTGTAACTTTTCTGTTATAGATGACAAGTTGACTGCTAGGTCCACATTGTTGTTTATTTTATTCATTGTTTTCAATCCATGATTTTCTCATCAAGTTTTATTACATAAAAAGGTTCCCCAGGTGGGTATCTACCAAACTTTTATAAAAACGTTTCAATACATTTTCAAAACTTCAATGTTAGGGAGTCTTTTGACCAAAGATCACTGAAACTGAGTGGATCATTGATATTTAAGTGTTCGGATTAGGTGTTTTTAAAAACATTTGTAATTGATCGAAGAGAAGAACAAACCTTTGCATATAACACCAGAGCCCCAAGAAAACCATTAAAATATCTGATTTGATCTGGTATTCTACAATTATATGATTGGGAGTCCGTTATGCCAAAAAGTAAATAAAAAATCATTCAGGTGTATTTCTATTTAGAATTCTTTTGAAAATGGTTTATCTCACTATGATTTCAGCTTTCTGTAGCTTTCTTTAGCATCAAAATTTTCCCAAAATACAGCTAATGTGCAACAACAGTGTGTCACTAGTAGAAAAAAGCCCATCTACCACGGTTGATGCCCGTGGTAGATAGCAATCCACCACGGATATTGTGCCCATTAGTAATTTGGATGAGACAAAAAGTCTCAGCTTCTACCACGAGGAAAAAAGAAATCTTAAGTTGTTAGTTTTCTCTTGTGCTATTAATTCTTTGTTGAGGGTTAATTCTCATAGGGATTCATACAGCCGACCTCATTTAGTGGGATAAAGCTTTTTTCATGTTGTATTGATCCTTCGTTTGCTACTCGTACACTAATATTTTTTTCCCATGTTTTCTATACAGTTTCTTGCTACACATTGTTCCACTTGTTCATGGTTAGGTTTCTCTGCACAATTCGCTAACGGTGTTTGTTTTTCTGGAAAGAAAAAAAGATGATGATTTTCGATCAAAGAGACGTTCTGTTGCAACTGCCCTGAAAAGAGGGTTTGCTAACAGGGCCCGGCCCTCAGAATTTGGAGGCTCTAGGGGAGCCTTTGAAGTAAGGCTCTAGAGTTGTCTAACTTTCGATCATTTATACATTGATATGTATAAAAAAAAAATTCCGCTAAATAGATGAAAAATAGTCTATTTCTATAACAAATATCGTTAAAAATTAATATCAAAAGAAAAAAGAAGTACAAACATTATTTAAATATTACAATTCTCGCGTTTTAAATGTAAATGTACTAATTAAGTTTCCATATTTTCAATCAATTATTTTTCAATTGCCTATGATTCTATTTTTAGAATTTTTTACCGAATTTGGGGGCCCTCCGAAGTGGAATCCTAAGCGGGTGCCTACTTTGACTACCTTCGGGGCCGACCTTGTTTGCTAATTTCTGCATCCCATCATATTTGGTGATATGCCTTTTTTTATACCCCTCATGCTGATCTCAACATATTGTGGATTAGGGATCACGTACTCCTTCATTTGCCAATTAAAATGGATCTTTCATTCATGATTGTTCAGGTTTTGACTTTATCTTGTTTATAATTAAGAGTTTTCGTACAATTCTATGACCTCTTATCTATGGCATAACCATAATATAACATAATCAACTTTTTATTCCGACACAAAACCATACTCTTAATTATATAACCAATAAAGTCCGGCAACAAATCAGTCAATCTGATTAAAATAATTATTATAGTTTCACATACTTTCACTTGTATTACTAATTATCAAAAGCATTAATAATCATCTATTTGCTAATAAACTTTAGTTTTAATTTTAATTTTAATTTTTTTTTTGTAGAGACATCAATAAAGAGTATTTATAATGGGAACAATTTTGATTGTAAATATGAAATTATATAAAAGGAAATTTTATTTGAACTCATAAACCTCTTTCTACACCCAAGTTAGTCTCTACACCCATATTATTTTTAATTAAATTATTGATATCTCTTTAGAGCCAAATTTACTACCTAAATCACTCTCACAACCCAATTCAGTATGTAAATTTATCTTTACACCCGTTCAAAACATTAAAAACCACGTAAAATTCAATACACTTTTAAACGTACCGGGTTGACAATATGTAATTGCAGCCAAAGATTCATTTACCCAATAGATTAAAAGACTACGTTTGAGTTCCTATTTCTTCTGATTTCTTGGTTCACAGAGCAGAACATTGGCGACAACTCGTTTCCCCTCATTGAAATGTTGTTGCTACTTGTCCAATACTTTTGTATATATATACCTATCTTAAAAATGGATTCGAATCTTGTGGATGGCGAATTTGATACCAAAACAAGCTGCCCATTGTGTGACTTAGTCGAGCTCCCCCTCCCCTTAGTGTAAAAAATATAGATGCATTCAACAAAAAAAAAAAGAACAAAAAGGTTCAGTAACAGCACAAGCCAACTTTAGCACAAACCAAGCTGATCTTCTTGCTCTCAAATCCCCACCTAGGCAACCTATCATTTCTTGTTGAGTTGGAATTCAAAACAACAAGTTTGGTACCTTGCCATCAAAATTGTCTCATCTACACATGTTGAAGTTGATTAGCTTTAGTCCAATGACTTGAATCTTTAAAGGAACCATTCCAATACATACACATATGTGTTGATTTATCAGGAATTCAAAACTTGATTGGCAGTAAAGATCAGGTGGAGTGGTTGTTTGTGCAGGCTAATGCTCTTTTAATAGGTCATCTTCCTGCTGTCTTCAACATGTCCTCTTTTGATAGTTTTGGCTCTAACCCTAAACAACTTAAGTGGTAGTTTACCAGACAATATATGCCAACATCTTCCAAGCATTTAGGGGTTGCATTTTCCGCGCAACCAGTTTGATGGAGGGTGAATGTAGAATAAACATTAGGGACATTTTGATGTAGACGCCTCGTTTTTAAATGTCATAAACTAAACATTTATTCCTTTTGCAAATTTGATTAAACATTTTCCCTACAATTTTGGTACTTTAATTTTATTTCATTAGAAATCTATTCATGTTAGCATTCCCTTTTTTATCCTATTTTTATGCATCTCTTATTATGATGATTTAAGATTTTTTTTATTTTTTATTAAAATATTTATTTTAGTAAATTAAATAGAATGCACAA